CCAATTTTCATTTTATATACTAGTAGTGTAATTTTTTTGGTCTTAAATATAGACTGTGATAAACTGTTCTCATGATAACTCTTTTTTTACCTGACACCAGGTGTTCTCTGCTATAATAGATATGTAGTGAATAACACAAAACAAATCTGAGAGTGTCCTGTTGTGGTCATGCCATATCTCCAGATATATGTGTTGATTTAAAATACCTTAATCCAGTGTCCAAGGCATTAAATACCAGGAATACAGGAGAGAAACAAGCTCTTATAGAATAGTATAGCCTTTCTCCTTTTCAGATCTCTGCAAATAGATTCACTTTTTGATTTAAAAAATGTTTTCTATTCAGTTATCAGATAATCTTAACTTTTCTCATTTCCTTGTTGAGTTTTAAAATTAATTCCATTATGTAAATAATTCATTACTAGTATTTTTAAGATAATAAATAGTTCATTCGTGTTTTTACTAGGGAAAATAGTTTATGGTTTTGAATAAAATCTATAGGCGAAAAACCACCATTTCACTGGTGCTGAATTATCAATATAACAAAAACAGTCCTCAGCAGAGCCCAGAAACCCAGAGCAAGTGTTAAAGGTGCAAGGTGGCAGCAGAGTAATCTTTGCTTCTTGATTTGCTGGTATTAGCAGTTAGGGCCGTAATTGTGAAGTAGGTGAGTAATGCTGAATACTTCATAAATGAAACTAAGATTTGAGATACTTCAGTACTTCATCTCATGATTTCCCAGCCATAGCCAGTGTAGAAGGTATGTATTGCATCCAGCTATTTCTGGTCTAACCTGGCCACGTATTTGATTGAATTAAGAGAGTGAAATGTCTGGAATAACCCACAGTTGAGTAATTACCCCTTCTTGCCACAAAATTATTTATTGGAGGGGTGTCAAACCTATGGGGTGTGGAGATGCAAGGATTTGCATCTGTGAACTTCTTGATTTAACTTAGGATCAAAGCCTGTGTTTGACTGCAGCTTTATTTCTTTAGATTTGCCATTTGAAATACTCTGAATGAATAACCTTTATAGAATAGTATTTTCTAGCTAAATAGCTGAGCACATTTCCTGTGCCATTCACTTCATAGAAATTCTCCACATCCTGAGTAAAAAATGAAGACAATGTCACGCAGTCTGTCAGGATGTGGCAAGGGAAGCTTTGAAAGGAATTCTAAATAGGCAAGATGTAATGCCTAGGCTAGAACTTGGCCAGGATACAAGAGCCAACACCCTTGCTCTTGCCTCAGTGATAAGGAATTTCAGGCAACAAGTGGTTTAGAGCTTCTTCGTATATCCTCAGTTTCTGGAACAGTGGTGATTTGAAGCATTGGAGCCTGAGAGCATCTTAAGTAGCAATAAAATGGTTTTGTTAAAAAACATTTGCAGGTAAATGCCAACAATAAATTCACATGAAATTGGTGTTTTCCAGTGGATCCAAAATACTTTGCACACATAACTTTAAAAATACATTCAGGCCACGATCAGTGTAGCTACTGCAGATGCTCATTAAATGTGGTTATGGTGAGCATGTAAGAGGACAGGGAAGTATTTCTCACAGAACCTCCATAGGCTGCATTGAAGGCAAATCTTGGAATTCCCCCAAGTTTCAGAAACAGCCCAAAACAGATCTGTTTTTAGAAATGGGGCTCTTGTTTAGAGGTATGGAGCCAAAACAGCAATACACTGCTGTGCTTCCTGACAAAACAATTGAAATGACCCTGATAGTCTTCAGAATCTTGAATGGACTTTCAAGGTCAGTTCCATGTAAGTTTCTAGTTCTTTCTTTCATAAGGGAAAGGTTCTTTGGAGGATGGGCCTCATTATGCTTAATTTTAAAATGTTTATGCAGCAGGGCACTAGCATTATTTTCTATTGTGTTTCAGCTTTGGGATTCAGTGTCTGCTAAGAGAAAAGTGTTTTCTTTAAAATTAGAAAGATTTGTTAGAAAGGGGTTTTATGGTAGGAATTTAAAGCATTACTTTTGTCCCTACTCAGTAGCATAAATGGCCTTTGAAATATGCCACATTTCCTGAGAACATTGGATACAATCCTGTAAGTGTTAGGTGCATCCATGTTCTGTCAGTGAAGTTTTAACTGCATGCCTAAGTGGAGTTGAAATCAGTGGGATATTGTTCTCTTTGTATTGCCCAGATGGAATTCTGATCTCAGTCCATCGCTATAATACAGGGCTTTCCCCCCATCATCTACTGTGAAGTGCTTAGGTCTTATTTGTAGGAAAAAATTAAATTGTCAATGTAGTAGTCTTCCTGGCAAATATCTCTGAATTGTGTAATCATTTGAACTGAAACTGAAGTGTCTGAGTTTTGCAGAACAACATTCTGTTGTATATTAGTAGCATTTCTAGAACTTAAACTGGTGAAAATCACTTCCAAATGTATTGTAAACTAGGCTTACTTATTATAATACAGGAAGTTTGGATTTCTATGGTTGGATTCCTAAGCTAATGATTCAGGAGCAACAAGTATATATCACTATTCTGCTTGTTTGGCTGTGCTTGAGCTGCATGTTATATACTGCTAATAGCTCATAGCAAAGAAAATGCTTAGCCTAATAGCTGCTTTAACCTTTTCCTGCTAATCGGGTGGTTTCTCATTTAAAACAGTGCTGCTGAGCACAATCATCTGGCATGTGTGTGTGTATACGCGTGCATGCACACATTCACATATGTAATAGTCATATTAATTCTACCACATTATGATTATTTTATCTTTTTGATTATCATGATATAGTGTTTCAGCAACACATGTGCTGGGTTCTTTAGATTCACAGATGTTGCTAATCTGAAAGGAGGATGAGTATTCCAGATATTTTTTCAAGTTTATTTCAGCTGAGCTAATTTTAGAATTGAGCTCTTGAATGAAATGTGCACATAATTGTTGTATCAGTCATGGGTGGATCAGCTAGAGGTCCTTATTGAATTGCTAGCACAGGAAGGGCAACTGCATCAATGTATTAGTGAACACTTGGTTTTACTAAGATTCAAACTGGGTGTATTTTTTGCCAATGTAAGCTCTAAATTTTCATTTAATATATTTTATTGAAGCTGAGTTCTCCAGGTACCTAAAGTAGCTTAAATGGTTAATTGGACTACTTGGGTAATCTTTTTGAGTTTATGCAATCAATATAGCAGTAAAGCATCCGTGTTTTGCAGCATGTCGTAACTGCTGTTTTTCAGAACTTGTCCAGAAATTTGGAACTACTTTGAAAGTTATAGTATCAGTAATACCAGATATCACCTGCTGAAAGAAACAGTGAAATAGAGGATAAAGGCTTAACAAACAAAACTGAAAAGCATAGTCTCACTTCAACTTCTGATTTCATTCTAGAACTGTAGAAGACATAATTCCCTTTTTCTAGTTGAAGAACTGGTTTAATCAAAAACCTTTGTGAAAAATAGATTTAAAAGCTATCAGAGTGCACATTGCCTCTGAGAAAGCACATGGATTTGAAACTAGTACCGCATAAGCAAAAGGCAGAAGTGTTTCTGTGCTTCTGAAAATCCTCTCCAGAGTGCTGAACAGTGAGGCTTGCTTGTGTAGGATGGTAGTACAAGATCTGCCAGTCTCAAAGAACTTCCTCCTTGCAATGCAGTCCCTTATCATATAGCCTTCACTGTTCAGGAAGTGGCCATGATCCTAAAGATGTTTTTCAGGAGCACACAAGAAAAGGGAGGTAGAAGGAGGACAAAGATCAATTTGTACTAGTTACTTTCCCTCATGTGGAATAAGGGGGTTGTATAACCCACAACATTAAGGAGAGCTATATTCGGAAAAAGAAATCCTAGGTTTTAATGCTGCTTATATTGCTTGAGTTTCCATTCTCTTCCTTTTGTCCTCCTTAATTTAATCTGGCATTGAAATGTTCCCAGGTGACTTTTATTCAACCTTGAGAAAGGCAAAATAGGGTTTGAGATCTCTTACAACAGGCAGGCTGCCCGTTGGAAAAGCCCACATGATGAATTGAGAGACACTGGTTATGTTTATGCATGTGCTTGTCATTGTTGGAGAGCTTGCTCTGTAAGTGTTACCATTAGGGTGTAGTTTTTTTAAAAAGTTATGTCATGCAACCTTCAAAGACTAAGAATCCTGAATATTGTGTCAGCTGTTAATTGCGACATGTTAGTGTTTCCTTTTGGACAGCTGACCTCTTATCTCAGGGGTAATATAAACAGTGACCGCTGTGCTTCCAAAGTGTTTGCAGAAAATTCTATAGACCAAAAATGAGGTCTTCTGTAAATAGTTCCTTGATTAATTTGCAGACTTTAACAACATGTTCTATTTTTATATAGCCATCAATGGCATATAATTTTAAAAAAACAGTCTAGTAGCATTTGGTGGTGAGGCCAGAGGGAAATGAAATAATTAGGAGTTCCAGTCACTCTTTTAGTGCTACTGCCACTTGATATAGCTGATTATCAAACAAAACAAACAATTAAGAGCAATGTGATTGATTTAAAAATGAGAATTGGCATTTCCTGAGAGATGGGGCACACAGACCCTATTGAAGCCAGTACTGTTGATTAATCATTTTGCTGACTAACCCAAAGAAGTAAGATAGCTTGGCAACACGTTATCTTAGCAGCCCTGCTCTAGAAATCCCCATAACGTAACCTCCTTGAAATAGATGTCGTCATCAGTGCCAGTCCTCACCCCCACCCTCACTGCTCAGCCCGTTCAAGCACATGTGACAGAAGATGGTGAGGGAAAGTGCAGAAGCTATTCATGGGATAGGAGTGGTTATTGTGTTAGGATATGCTTTCTGTTGACACACCAGTGTGCAGGATGCTTCTTCCTCCTCTCCCCCTTTTTTCCTCTTAAAACTTTGCAGCTGTCTCTCAGCCATTCCCTCCCTCCCCATGTGCAAACACACTCTTTCTCTCCCTCTCACTGGATCTGTACAAATTCCAAGCTCTTTCTGCAACAGTCGCACCCTTCTTATTTTGTTGAAGTGCATTTCAGCTTTTCTTTTCTTCTTCTCAGCAGGCAACGGACAACAGAGGCGCAGATCCATTCAAGATCTTAGTATTGCTGGAACAGAAACCAACCAGGTAAAAAAGAAAATCACCTACTTTTTGACACTCAAATGGTTTATTAGATTATGGTCTGAGTTTTGAAAAGAATAGACTTTCATCTCATTCAAGTAAGGTATGAAAAAAATTAAATTATAACGAAAGTGGTTTTGGTCCCTATTCTTGAAAAATACTAGCACTAGGAAAGTATAGTAGGCAGCTGTCAAGAAACTCATTCCCAGCTCTGTACTATATTATGGTCACTAAACTTAGCAAGAAAGTCTTAGTATTTTGTACCATTGTTTGCTGCAGTTGTTTCTTTGCTCTGTGTTTCTTCAAAACTTAACAATGGCTTCCAAGCCTGTAATCCTGGTGAACCCTAAATAGAAACAGACTGCAGGCACATGTAATGCTGTGAGTTAATTTTTTAAAAATTAATCATTTCCATTCCGCTGTATGATACTTTGATTTGGTTAAGTGCAGAGGAGTCATCTTGACAAATATCTACACATACCTAGAATGCAGTCTTCGTATACTTTAATGCAAACCCCAGTGTGTTTAGTGAGAATTCCACCAAATAAATGTAAATAGGATTTCAACTTTGGTTAATTTACCAGCTTCATTCTTGCTAAAATTTTCAACATTGATGTGAATTTGAAAACCTCTGATATATTGTTTGGGAAAACAGGACTGCTGAGATATATGTAGATGCTCAGATGTACCCATCATATTACTTGGTTTTACAAAGTGTTCTTCAGAACAAGTATGTGTGTGCATACCAGACTCAATACTTTGTCAATGTAGTTAGTGGTTCATAGTGAAAAAATAAGAGGTAATACTAGAATGAAGCTATCATGTGCTGTGTTATTTGCATAGTAGCAGTTTTGACACTGCGGTATATTTGTTTCTAACTATTTTTCAGTGCACGTGTTTAATGTAGGATTAATGTTTAAGAGGACTATATCTTAATGCCACTTTGCATAGTTCCTGAGATTTTGTGAAACTTTGGAGTGTGCTCTTCAAAATTTATAATTATATTCTAGCACACATTTCTGATAGGTGCAGAGTCGAGATTAGATTGAGCTGTGTTATAGACGGCCCCTTCTGAGGCAAGAGAAGTAACCTGCAACACACATATGGAATCATAGTGCAAAGGGTGAAATAGTTTTTGTCCTTCAAGCAACTGTCCATGTAAGATAGTTCAAGAAAGGCAAGAGTCAACTCACCTTAAATGCAGTTATCCCTCTATGTCATATCTGCATTCACATAATATAATTGCAACCCTGTGCACTTCCAACAGCAAAGTAGGAAGTACAGTTTTATAGCAACACTGACAACCAGTCTCATAGAGAACTTGGCAACTATAATTCTCCTTAATCATGGTGTTTGCTTTCCATTGCCCACTTGCTATCCAAGCTGGAAAGACAACAATCAATATGAGAATGGCAGAAATACCTTCATAAGGAGCCAGTCTATACATATGTTCAAACACAGTGTGTAGTTTGGGTTTATTGCAGCCCAGAGTGACTGCCATTGGTTACTCAGTGGAAAGGAGAAGAGCTACTGAAGCTGCAACCCAGTGCTCCATGCCTCCTTTCGGATCATGATATAAATCCCCTGATGGCTGCATTGGTGCTGAAGGCAGCATCAGCCTGCAAGCAGTGCATTTTTTTAGGAACAAAGGAACAATTAGGAATAAAGAAGTGCCAGTGAGAATGGCTAACACATGGACTGATGGCCTTGCTTAATCAGCCTGTCATTTCCTTTCATTTTGTGCAGCATGTCATTCTAGGTTTATTAGGGGTGTTAAGGCTTGTTGTGGTCTCATCTAGTCTTCTTATTTACGAAATGATATAATGCCATCAAGGTTCAAGTCAAACGAAGTGCTCATGAAAATGTGCCAGTATTTATGTGTCTTTTTAAAAACATAAATGGGATGTTAAATGAGCCAAGTGTGGAACATGGAGCTGGGAAAGGGGACATTAATCATTTGTTCCTCCAAGTGTGAATTGGGGAGGAGGACATGTTTGCAGTAGGAGATCATCAGTATGTTGTCCCTTTTACCATAACTTCTATTGACGTTAAGATGCTGAAAGAAAAATATGCAGAATGTATGAATTGTCTGTGAAGAGAGGCAAACATCCCAATTGTACATTAGAGACAAATTGATAGGCAAGTTAACTTCTATAGCTTACATGGGTTTGATTTAAATCAATTGGATTTAAATCATGATTTCAGTCAGTATTCCGAAAGACTCGGTTTTATCACTGATTTTTCCTCCAAAGCGTGTTCTTGCTTCCTGTAACCTCAATACATATTTTCCAAACTCTCCTTGCTCAGATTGTCTCTGTCTCCAAAGTCCTCTATTCATTTGGCATGTCTAGTGAATAGAGGTAAGTCTTGACTTTGTAGACAGAATGTTGCAGAGGGACAGTAGATCATACCGCCACCCTAAAAGAACAAGCATTACTCAAGAAAAGTATGGAAGATACTGGATATTTTAACAGAGCTTCCAAAATTTTCCAACGTTATACTGTATCTTGTTAGAAGGAAGAACTTCAGTCAGAACTGGACTCTTGGGCTGATTAGGACTATTATTTCTTATCACCATATATTACTGTGTCTCCATATGTTGCTCATAAATCTCTGGAAAGTCCACTTTGAGAACTGCACCTTTTCAGATACCATCAGAAAAAGAGAACTGGTTGAGAATGAGTACTTTGCAAGATAGAATAACCTAAATAACCACTACCGAATGCCTATAGAACTTCATGGACCTGTGGACCCTACTTATTAGATTATTGTCTCAGAACATTGAATTAGAATGTATACCCCCTATTTTGTAATGAGATATTTAGTCTATAACTATCCTCATGCAGAGCCTTTGAAAAAGCCATTTTAAAATAAGAATTTAAAAAAATCCAATTTAAATTATACAAATCTTTTGTTGTTAATTTAAATTGTTGGTATTTATCCAGTCTGTTTAGAGCAGGGATGGGAAACTGCTATTTGAAATGTTCGTAGTCTGCAACTCCTATCAGCCCTACTAAGGATAATCTAATAGCAAGGAGTGCTGAGAGCTTTAATTTAGTAACAGCTGGAGCACTGCAATGTACCCTCCCCATTCTAATGATTTCTGGGGCGAAATAGTGTTGCTGTGTTGCACATGTGGAAGACAAACAGTGTCATGTTCAGATTTTCTGGCTTGCAATTATTGAGTCACTGCCAGGATTCTTGGAGATGTGCACAGCTGCTAGTTTGTCACATGCTCAAGAATCCCAATGGATTACCAGGTAGAAGTGATTGAATACTGTGCCATTTGCTTTCTACCTGCGTAACAAAGCAACAGAATTCCGGCCATTGTGATTCTAGTAATTTTGCACTTTGAACAATGTCATTTGATAACTATGTTTTTAGTGATAATAGCATGATTTCTTAAAACTGTTTGTACAGGAAAGCAGAAACAGTAGTAGGTCATCTAGTCCTAGTGTGAGAATGATCACTACCTCGGGACCAACCTCTGAAAAACCAGCTCGCAGTCTTCCATGGACACCTGATGATTCTACAGGTAAAATTCCCTTTGGAGTGTTTTACATCTTTTTTTACACATTTAACATTTTGAGTTTTTGAGTTGGCTTCATGATTGACATTTACAAGACTTATATGTATGTGTCTGAAATTAGACCTTAAAATACTGCATGGCATCAGTGGTGAGCATTGCTGAGCACTTGCCTTGGGACAAAACATTAGCCCTATTCAATGTGTGGAGATCCAGAGGTGATAGTTATTTGGGGATGAAGGTATGTCCTGCCCGAGCCCAATAAGTCCTGCAGACTTTTCTGCATTCTGCATAAAGTCTACATCAGAGGTCGTCAACCCCCAGTCCGCGGCCCGGTGCCAGTCCGCGGCCTGAGCTGTACTGGGCCACAAAGACAGACCTCCTGCCCCCCCCGCACACGCTCCCCTTCCCACAGCTGTTTTGCACACGTGTGCCAGCACCGGCGTGAGTGCTCCCCCACCCCTTCACGCATGCGCCAGTGCCCGAGCGCCTGCACGAAGGCGTGGGTGGGCAGTAAGGAAGGTGCCCCTGTGCATGCGCGAAGGGGTGGATGAGGCAGGCGCTCCCCCACCGCGCCTGAGAGAGAGTGCGCACCTGTGGGGGTGCCTTCCTCAGAGGCTCAGCCGGTCCGTGGTCCCAAAAAAGTTGGGGACCGCTGGTTTGCATAGACATTGTTGGCACATTCAGCAGAACACGCAGCATGTCCGTGATTGGCTATCAATGTCAGAAGGGCTGCCAATTGTCAGCTCAACATGCTTATAGTGTCTATGGAGACCTTTGCACTCAACAACCAAAAGTCTTCTGGAATTCTGGGTGGAGTGAAGACACAGACGGCAGGCTAAAGTCCATGCCCCTACCTCCATTTGTAGTCTCATGCCTGTTCAGGCTGAGTAGGGCATCTGCATAGCTGTGGGTGGTCCTGTTCCTCATTGACTCTTGTTTGCTGCCTAGCATAGAACACAAAAGAGCAGCCACAGCAGTCACAAGGAGGAATAGTAGAAGCAGCCCTCACTCTCACAGAAGACAAGCAAACAGTTGCCATCACATGCTTGCCTGTGTGCCTCTTTTTCTTCGGAGATGCTAGACTGTATGAGCAATGGATTGTGGGTGGGCCTTTAGACAGTACATATACAGGGTCAGTTTTTCTCACAAACCAGACATGGAAGAACATATTTTGTAAATTATTCCAGTGTGAAACAAATCATTGATTTATAATTTATTGACTGAAATCCTGTTGCTTTACAAAAGTGTAACAGTGAATTGACGTAGGTTAAGAAATCTCTCTAGGCAATATTTGTTGCATACTGAGTTGCGCAACTCTGCATGCACAAATAATGCCTATGGAGATATCTTAATTTATGGCTATTTGTTGCAAAAACTTACAACTTTTCCATAACCGCACAACAGGATTTCAGCTATTTAATGTATTGCACATGTACATGTCTCTGCTAAAGTTGAGATAAGTAATGGTGAGTTCTGGAGTTTTTTAAGTTGAAGAGCTCATAATAATGATCATAAATACTTCTCTACTTCAGTTTGTGAAGCAGCAAATAGTTATGAAAAGTGAAATTTAGACATAGCTATCTGCACACTCTTTCTATTATGTACTGACCTCGGTGGCAAAAGTTATTACCAGTTTTACTTGAGACATCTATGTTTCTGTCTAACTGTGATTTTCATATTTACACACAATACTGTACACAGTAATCAGTAGAGTGAGGATTTCTGACATGTCATATTTTTTCTGCAACCTATAAGTACTTATAAGTAAGTTTAAGCAAGTTTATGAGTAATCTGGTATTACATAGTTTTTGTTTTGCCTGAAAAGTTATATTTTGACCTTTTAAAAGTGTTACATCATATTTCCTCTTAATTTTGAAAAAAAAAACATATTTTGATCACATTTTGGTCATTGGCAACCCTCCTGATAAAACAGCAAACTATGCAAGGGAGATGGATAGTCACAAGGCTTTCTGACTCACCTAATTGCTGCAGTGACTGAGAGAAAGATGTGCAGTTTCAGTAGATGAAACAAGTTATGTAAATGGAAGATGTGTAACTAATAATATTATTGGCACTCTGAAGTGTGGTAGGCCTTTTTGTGAAACTGTACATAAAGTAAGTACACTATTGCTATGCTCTTTGACGATTCTATGAAACTACTCTTGCCGGGTGCTGTAAAAATGGGAAACATCCTCCTCTTTATAACAAATGCTACTCCATACATGATTAAGGCAGATAAGGGACTTAAACTTCTTTCCAAAAATAATCCATATCACATTTTGCATATGGTTTACACAAAGCAACCAAAGGGATTCAAAGCAAGCTCCTACTTTGGCTCTCCCTCCCCAACCTGTTGTGATGTGTTAGGGGACTTTCTGAAACTTTGGCTGGAAACTTGATACAGTCAACCCTTGACTTATGAACTTAATCCATTCCAGAAAGACGTTCACATGTCGAAAAGTTTGTAAGTCGAAGTACCATTTCCCATTAAAATGCATGGGAATGGAATTAATCCATTCCAGCATTTAAAAAAAAACACAACTAAATAAATAAATAAATAAATAAATAAAAAGAGCAAGTTCCATGCTGGGATTGCAAAAAAACCCACACACACACCAAAAAAAACGACACACAGAAACATAACCCCCCCTGTCCAAACACACCCTCCAAAACACACACAAAAGTTTTTTTAAAAAGGACTTACCAGTCCAAAGCCTACCAGTGCTACGGTGCCTCCGCCGCAGCCAGGGGAGAGCAGCCAAGCGCCCGGCCAGCTCTAGCCTCCCGGCTTCCCCCGGTAGGCCTGGTCTGTTCCCCGGGAAAGCCTGCAGGCGGCAATTGCGGTGGCGGGAGACTCCTGGGAGGTCTCCGATGGCAGCAGAGAAGCCCTGGGAGCTTCCCCGCTGCCATCAGAGACCTCCCTGGGGGACCCCGCTGTCGCGATCGGTGCCTTCGGAGGTCTCAAAGGGCTTTCCTCCCGACATCAGAGGAAGCTGTTTGAAATTCGAATTTCAAGCCCTGTCGCCCTGTCTTTTTGCCTTCGAAGCTCTCAAACAGCTTCAATGTTGTGGGGAAAGCCCTTTGAGAGCTCCAAAGGCGCCAGTTGCGGCAGCGAGGACCCCCCAGGGAGGTCTCCCAGAGCTTCTCCGCCACCATGGGAGACCTCCCTGGGAGTCCCTGCCACCGCGATCAGCGCCTTCGGAGCTCTCAAGGGGCTTCCTCCTATGTCAGGCAGAAAGCCCTTTGAGAGCTCCGAAGGCAAAAAGGCAGGGAGAAAGGGCATGACAATAAATTTATTTGTCTGGAATTACATCATGCCACATGGCTCCAGAGTACCCTCAGGGCACCTTTCAACATTACATAAAGTAACCACCAAAACAGCACAACAAAATGTCAAACACTAATAGTTAAACTCTTAAAGAGAGCACCAAACAAAGTGTTAAAACATCCAGTGATTTGCATTCAGTATTTTCTCTCTAGACAATTTCTGAAATAAAGATGTGTTACGGTAGCTTGGAAGCCACCTGTCCGTCATTGCTGTATCGGCATGTCATCTGCCAATAGCATGACGGAAGGTGGGACAAGGGGTGGAGCCAGGGTATATAAGGAGAGTGAATGGGTGTGAGTGCTTGAGATAGGTTAGGGACTGGTTAGGGACCGGTTAGGGTTTGTTCCTATTGTGAAGAACTGTGCTATATAGTGAGGGTCTGTGAGAGTGTGTGTGAGTGAGTGATACTTTATTACATTGATTGCCTTATTATTTGAGTTATTAAAGTGATTTACCATTCCTTTTGTTGTAATCAATAAACACAAGTTTTTATTTTGAAAATCATACATTTGCCTGAAGATTCATTTGAGGGAACGGTTGGTGGCAGCGTGAATAAAGTGTGTGTGAGAGTGTGACATGGGAGCTCCTTTGTGACGTGTGAGGAGGCTGTCACAAGATGTTTTGCCATTTTTCTATAAATCAACTGAATTCTGATTTATAGATCTTTGTGGAGAGAGTTCATCATGGGAATGCTGAAAAATCTTGGCTGCTGCTTCTGGTTGCTTTAACTTCAGATAGGGCCTTGTGCCAATCCCTCTTTTTCATTCTGAAGCTGCTTGCGCAGTGACCATTTGTGGAAGGAAGCATCCTGAGCAGTTCTGGTGCAGTGATGTGTGCAAGTGCCATACACAGGCATGGGATGCTTTGTCCTCATTGCACATACAAAACGCACCTGGACTGAAGAAAGCAAGGAGGCTTCAGCAGATAGTTCTGTGCATACTTCAGAATCTAGTGAAGGTCTCAGTTATGCCGGTCAACAGAATATATGTTCAACATGCGTGCATTTCAGAGTTTTGATGCTTTTGTTAAAAATGATCTGATAAAAAATGTCCTCTTTTTAAAAATGTTTTATGTAATTTCCTTCTCTGTTCTTTTCAGTCACTTTTAAGATGGTTACTGCCTTTAATGCTGGGCAGATTTGGACTATTTCTGTCATTATACAGTATTATCCCCACTGGATGGTATCAGACAACCAAGCACAGCACAGCAGCTCTTTATAGTGAGCATGGTAGAGGGAAGAAGCCTTTGATTGACACATAAAATTTCTGTCAGTCTGTCCTTGCTGATAACCAGGTGGAGGAAGAGTCTATTTTAAGGATTACGTCTTTATAGACTTCCTTAAAGAAGAACATGAGGGAATGTAAGAAATGCTATTTTGAAAAGCTCTTTGCCTACGAAACCTGTTTTCATACTTTGGGCATCCCCAGCTCTTTGCCTACAAAACCTGTTTTCATACTTTGGGCATCCCCAATAGCACATAGCAACCGGAAAGGGTAAAATAAAAAGTAAATAAAATCATGAACATTTGTGTTGTGAATCTGAGTCTGCGATGTTTCAGCTACTATGGATTTCTAAATGCATTGGTGCTGAAAATGCATTAATTTGTGGTTGGTTAGGATAATCTAATGAAATCATAATACAATCAGATGTAATGTAATCTGATGCCATTTGGTGCTTAACTGTACTACATGCTCTCCCATCATTTCATGGTAAAATCAGTGTTTCACTGAAATGTTAATTTGCAGTATGGTTTGTGATCAGATTGAACACTTAGTACTCAGAATATCTATTTTTTTTTCCAACAGACACCAATGGATCTGATAATTCCATCCCAATGGCATACCTTACTTTAGATCACCAATTGCAAGTAAGTCATTGTTGGCATGTATTATGTTAAAGCAACATTTGTACTCTCACTTAACTTGTTTGACACAGAAGGGGCATCTAGAGGAGGACATCTGAAGATGACCTTAAGCAACATGTGTGAAGAGATAATTCTTTATATCCCAGTTTGGTCTTATCTTAAAGCCAAATTTGAATGAATTTAGAAACTCGGGGTTCATAGAGTCCCCAGAGCTTATCAGGAACCACATGCTCAAGTATCTTACCCCAGAAAGTTACAAGCCAGTCTAAAGTTGTCCTTCTTGTCAGAGTCCAGATTAGATTTCCTTCATGTGGTTCAAATAGAGCCACTTTCAAAATGGGTGGTAGTACTCCCTCACTCAAGGAAAGGGTAACTTTCTGGACCCATTTGGCTATCTTACTAGCCATACTACACAGAAAAAGGTAGAGTGCGGTTGGTCACTCTTGCTCAATCATCCCATCTGCATCTTTGGGTCTCAGAAGTTGAAACTTAACTGGATCTGAGACTGCTATGGATTCCTCCTTCAGTGGAACTGTGACATTTGAATCAGGCTAGACATGGGTGGTTTTACGCTGCAAGTGTCTTGCAAATTGATATGAACAGGGCATTGAGGCTGTGCCCCGTTGCTTTTCAGGTTCTGATAACCATAGTGGGTGGCACTATGAGATTGTGATGGATCAAAAGATGCTTTCAGGAGAGAATATACATCTCAGGTCTGATGAATAAACTTGCTGAGATGTTTTCAGGAGATTATATGCAGAAAGGTTTTAACATACATAAAGGTTGGGTTAAGAGAATTAATTTTTAACATGTTTGATTTTATTTTCAGCCTCTAGCCCCATGTCCAAACTCAAAAGAATCCATGGCTGTATTTGAACAGCACTGTAAAATGGCACAAGAATATATGAAAGTTCAAACAGAAATAGCATTGCTATTGCAGAGAAAGTAAGTTTATGAAATGTGTTCTATTAATCATTGATACTTTTACTCCAGTATGTTATAAAATAATAACTGCATGAAGACATGACTATCAATACTGATTGAAGAACAGCATTTTCCTGTTTCTGTCATAGTTCTGTCTGCAATTAGCTTGAATTACAAAAGAAAAATTGTGTATTCCAATAGGAGATAAAGAGAGGTAAAATAAGTGTGTAAATACATGATGTCTTTATTCTGCACCATGTACCGGGCTTGAACCCTCCTCCTTAAAAATTGCTTGGAATAGCAGATTGTGCTTCTATATGAAGCACATCATCTATTGTAGCCTGCAGAGTGAGCAAGATACTATATGTCAGGCCCAGTGCTCTGTTAATCGGACACTCTGGAAAGTGTCCACAGCTCCAGAGTATTGGCACTGTGATTAAAATCAGTTCAGTGTTCTGTGTGATGCAGTAGCAAGCAGGTCCTCTTCATCTCCCAGGCAGGCTTCACGATTCTTGGATCAGTCTCTGTCAAGACCTGATAAACATATGCTGTCCTTTTCTCAGCAGCCTCACCAGTGCCTGGCCGGCTGGGTCTGGAGCACTTCCTGCTTCTGACGGCATTCTGTTGTGAGTGGGCAGGCAGCATGGGCTTCCTCTCCTGAGTCAGTGAGCACATCTTTGTTTGCTGCCTGTGTCATGCCACAGAGCACCCTTGTCAGTCCATTGCTACTTTTTCAAGGGATAGCTGTGTTAGACTGTTACAGCATGCATCAGAAAACCAAAATATTCATACTAAAATAAATCTGTTGCTTTTAAAAGGTGCAGTCAATACCATCCACTCATGAGTCCCAGTATGTTGCCCTGTGAGAGTAAATGTGCTTTCATGTGTTGAAATAAGGGATACAAAAAGTAAATAGTTCCTACTGATTCTTTCCAAGTAACTCCCCAAAGATCACATGGAGAAGTTGGTCTCCATAAAATGAGTAGTGCTCGTGCTGTGGTGCACTTAAAGTCTCTCCAGTTTGTATGTATGAATGACTTCCATATCTCCACCACTGCAAAGGCCTGAGCTGTCCTTCCATGTGTGGCATGCCAAAAAAACACCATAAGAAATACCATTCAGCTGGCAGGAAAAAGTGTGTTCTCCATAGTTACTAGCAAGAAGGTGTGGTCCCTTAGGGCTGGACAGGCTATGTGGGGCATTAGAAAGTTGCTCACCCCCTCTGTTAAAAAAAAGGAGTGCACACTGCCCAGTAGGAAACTTCAGAGCCCCGAAGAAAACTTTGAAAAATAATTCCTTTCAAATCTGCATGGAATATTTTGGCATCTAAAATTAGAGACAGAAAGTGTTTTGAATGCATACCTCATCCGTTAATTGAAATGACAGTTGTGAAAAAAATAGTCTACATGACTTTTCCTCCTTCTATTTTAGTGAGAGTTCATCTTAACATAGAACAGGAGCTATTTTAAGAACAGGGTAAAATGACAAAATTTAAACTGTCTTTGAACATAGAACATTACGGTATATATTTAGCTAGGGCTCTCCCCCCTCCCTTTTTTGAAAGATGTAAAAGAACTTTGCAGGCCAGTAGTGGCATAGCAAAAGCACCAGAGACTGAATTAATGGGGTGGGGCTAAACTTTATGGAGAAGAAAGCAATAAACTTTATTTATTGGTGTTCAGTACAATTTTATAGTTTATTGATTGTTGCTTCATAAACTTGGTGTATCTGGTTAAACTCAGACACAACTTTGGCACCAGTAATACGTGTCACCATTCTGTGATCTCCTTTCCTTGTTAACACATGGTTTCATTCACTCATCATATAGCATCATATAGTTTTCCCATTTCTGCCACAGGGAACCAGAAAATGCATGATGTTTTTTTGTTGCAAGTTGGATTTGCCATCACAGTTAAGTTGGCACTAATGAAATAACAGTTGAACTGGTTACTTATTATTTATCCTTTCAGGCTTGTATATACATAGTAGCAATGAAAGTATTTCAAAGACCAGTAACTTTTAAGCTTATGATGACCCTGTGATTGGGGTGAGCTAGTGAAAAAATATCAGTAGTCCTGAGAATCCACAGATGTTGCTCCAACATTGATGGCTGGGCAAAGTCTGGGGTTACCTCACTGGCAATTTTCTAGATAGTATGATTCTCCTGGCTACAGTTTCATATGGGAGCCTTCAGTGTCCCCTTATAGTTTCCTTAATTATTAAACTGGTAAAAGCACCATGCTTGTGAAAAGCAGCCTTCCTGCAATATGTCTGTCCAGGAACTACAGACCACTGGTAAATGGAAAACTACTTCTCTTAATGATTTTAGAAGAGGTAGCCATGTTATTCTGTGCTAGCATGACAGGTGAAAACAAGAGAGAGAGAGAGATGACAAAAATCTTCTGCCACCTAAAAGACTAACAGCTATATTTTAATGTGAGCTTTTGTGGACAGGCCCTCTTCCTCAGACTTCTTCAGCTTCAGTAATCTGCACACAAGTCTCCCAAATCTTACTGACTAAATAATTCTCTTACTGTTATTAATTCATTTAGGACTGGTTCACAAGGCCTCCAGCCAGCCACCAGTTTCTCATTGTTGTATGGGTTGGGATAGGCACATCACTGGAACAATTGTAAATGCATAATATATGTACATGCATGCCACATTTACATGTGACACACCACAACGGGAAGGAGGGCTTCCCCCTGCACCTTACTGTGGCTCTGTCACACGTCAAGTAGTTTTTTGAGATTCAAACAGTCAGTGCTAGCTCTGCCTAAAGATACTCTTTAGGCACCTAAATATGTTATTTCTCTTTAGATTCTCATTTTATCTTCCTTTGTTTAAATTTAATTCAGGCAAGAACTAATAGCAGAACTGGACCAGGATGAAAAAGACCAGCAAAATACTTCACGTCTGGTACAAGAGCATAAAAAGCTTTTAGATGAAAATAAAAGCCTTTCCACATACTACCAGCAATGCAAAAAACAATTGGAGGTCATCCGAAATCAGCAACAAAAACGTCAAGGGACATCATGATTCAAAGAGACTTCAAATTGACAGTGATGCACAGAAAAACTTTCTTTTTTAAATTATCACATAATAGGACAACTTCTGAGTGTTTCCTTATTGATGTGTGCTGAATATGTAGACATACCTGCTGCTCTTCCAGCATCAGTTCAGTATCTTTATTTGGGTGAAGGTTGAGTTTTTTCAGAAAGGTAAGAACAGCTACATGTGTAATCAGCAGCACTAAACATAAAGCAACATGCAATGAACTCTGGCTGTTTGCATGCCCCTTGTGTGATGGCTGCCCTACCAAAAGCGGCTAAGTGGCTGCTAAATTGTAAGATCTTTTGGTGTTAATGCAATAGAAGCAATATAGAATTTTTCCATTTTTAGACTTTTTGTTTTTCTCTCATCTTGGACTGTTTGCAAGAACTGCCCATTTCCCCAGAACTCAGCCTTCTTCAAGCTCACAACATGATGTAGGCTGAACAATGAATTCTTTTAAATAGTTCCATCCTCAGTATTAAAGATAAGAAGTCTAAACTGATGTCACCATTGTTAGTTGAGTGTTTGGTTACCCTGCGTCTTATAATCATACCATCTTGTATTTTCTTTGATTTGGGGTCAAGGGATGAGAAGGGTATGGTGTCAAGGCCATATATGCAATGTGAGGATAAAGATTCATTAAGCCAAACGGTTCTGGTTATGTTATTTAATTATGTTTAGAACTGGCTCCTGTCCACCTAGAGTTTGTCACCTTGTAACCAAAGTGCTGGGCGCATTCTCATATATCTCCTGAAGCAGTGGGAGAAAAAGTAACTGTTGCTTCTCCCAGCACTGCTCAGGAGCATACAACATTCTCTGATCTGCCATCTCAAGCAAGATTCCTGGTACATTTTGCCATGAAGGGGCAGGCAAATGACATGATTGGGACAAAAAGAAAGAAGACCTGCTGCCTTCTCTCGTGCATTGAGAGATTTTGATCAGAAGTGGGAAACGTGTCCCTCCAGATTTTGAGGAACTCCAGTTCCCAGTAGCCTGATCAATGGAGAGAGAAGATGGCAATCATTCATCAATGTCTGGAAGGGCCAGAAGGTTCCCCAGTATGCTGTCTTTTTTAAAAAAAAAGAGAGAGAGAGGTATTCCAATTGTAAGGTGGCAACCCTGCTCCATTTTCTGGAAGGTGTAAATAGATCATTATAGCTTACATCACAGACAGAATTCAACTTTGAATACAGTACAGTGGTACCTCGCTAAATGACGACCCCACTAAACGATGGGATGGATTATCGTCGTCATGCGGGGCACCACTATATATGGAAAAATGAGGATGGATTCTAGAGATTAAGAAAAAAAGACTCAGTTAGCTCCCTCCCGTGGGGTATATAAGCCCCGCCTCCTCCATCTTCCTTTCAGTTCCTCTATTTCCGCCGTTCCTGTAGGACGTAGGAAGAGCAGAGCTATCGACCGTTAAGTACTTAGCTAGCTAGCTATCTCTTTTTCTTGCTTAATTATTCTTTCATTTTACTTTAGCAGTTACTTGACAGAACCTGCTATTCAAGTGCTTATTTTTCTCTGTTCTGTTGCATTCCCCCCGATCAATGGATCCCCTTTTTCTTTTGTTTATGGCCCCTCGGGGCTTCAAGCAGTGTGTCGTCTGCTCCCAAAAAATCCCCTTATCAGACGGACGCGATAAATGCTTGTTTTGTCTTGGAGAATTACATCAATATCAATCTTGCACTGCTTGCAAGGGTTTTTCAAAGTAAGCAATTAAGTTGAGGCGCCAAAGACTTTGAGCTTTCCTTTACAAAAAGACTCTGTCTCCAAACATGGAAAGCACCTCCCTCACAGCACTGTCCCTGCCGCATGCTGAGGCTTCTAAACAAGATTCTTCGGCTGATCAACTGCTGCTTACCATCTCTGTGCTGGTTAAGGCTAAGGACACTTCCAAACCACCAAAAGCCAAACCGCCTTCTCGCCCTGCAAAAAAGAAGGCCACCGATAAGCCTAAGACAGCAAAGAAACCGGCTAAGTTGCCTGTTGTGCCTCCTCCCACTCCTTCGATATTGCTCGAGGAGTCTTCGAGGGAAGCAATTGGACTCTCTGATGGAAAGGTGCACATTCCTTTAGCCCAGACAGCTCAGGAAGATATGTGCATGATACCAAACTTGGGCCGATTTGAGGCTGAACCAGACACCAGCCGGGCCGTTGCCCATCCAAGCCCTCGATACTCAGGGCGGGCTGATACCGAGTCTCCATCTGAACAGGAGTCTGATCATGAAACTCCTAGGAAGCGTACCGCGAAGCGCAAAAATATTGCTCCGTACCAGCCTTGGGTACCAGCAAGGACTACCACAGTTTGGCCACTCCTGTTGTGCTCCATTTCAGCTGTATCCGTACCCAGGCTACGCCTATCAGTTGGAGCCTCAGGCACAAGTACTGTAGCCCCCTCTATCCCGTGTCAGCCACATACTCAACAGGATTTTTCTACGCCTCAAGCACCATCTCGCAAGAGGCCATTTCCTCCGGTACCTACAGCACTTCCCAAGCGTGCTAAGTACAGTAGTGGACACTCTTTGGTTCGAGCCACGACACCGTACTCTGGTCCTGATGCCCACAATACCATACCTTTCTCCCAGTCCACCCAATCGGATGTGGAGATGGCTCCAGAAGACACAGTACCGAGGCGTTCTCCTTTGATCGCCTCATAGTCATCTAATCCATCTACGGTGTCCACCGACTCCGACGCCCCTGATACTGCCGCCCAAGGCTCGTCATCTCAGCCCTCATCAGAGGACTTCTCATCCTATGCACAGCTTATTATGCGGATGGTGAAAACTCTGCAGCTCGATGCACAAATCCCTCAACAAGAACGGGACCTTGTCTTCCATGATATGGAGCAGGACAAAACCTCCTAGCCTCAGTCTCATTCCTGCTCTGTTTGAGCTGGTAAAGTCTTTTTGGGATAAACCTCCTACACTGGTACAGGTGCCACGCAAGCTTGAGCACCACTATAAGACTCATGGTTCGGACTCTGACTTTCTGGCCAAGCATCCTTCACCCAATTCCGTTGTGGTTAAATCTACTCAGTACAAATCCCATACCAGATCATCAGTTACACCTGTTGCCAAAGACGAAAAGAAATCAGACACCTTTGGGAAAAAGCTGTATTTGTTTGCCGCAATGTTGATTAAAATTGCTAACTACCAGGCCACCATGGGTGCCTATCAGAAGCACTTGTGGGACAAGATAGTTCCAGTACTGCAATCACTGCCTAACCCCGCAAAAGCAGAAGCCCTTAACGTTTATGAAGAGGCTAACCCTCTTACCAGGCAACAGCGATTTGCTGCAAAAGGCACAGCTGACATCGCTTCTAAATCCATGCTGACGGCCATTGCTGTTAGATGCCACGCCTGGCTTAGAACAGCCAACATCCTTGAAGACACTAAGACCATGATCGAGGAACTTCCCTTCAATGCTGTGGGACTGTTCAACTCTAAAACTGATGAGACTATGGACAATATCCATAAGATGAGAAAGACAGTGAAATTTTACGTACCATACCAGCCGTATAGGTACCACAAGTCTACCTACAAAAAGCCACAGCACCAATCGTCTACTCAGTACCAGCCCTCTCGGTACAGTAAGCAACAGCAGGACCGCTCTTACCAAATTCAGCCTCCTACGCCGCTGTTCAGGCAACAATGCTTTCGTAGCCCTAAGCAGTCCTTTCGCAAGTCTCAGCATAGAGGTAAGCAATTCTCATGAATGAATGAATGAATGAATTTTATTTATTTATTTATTTATTTATTTATCTCCCTCCTATACAAGATTATCCCCATTCCTACAAGAATGGAAAAACATCACTACTGATAAGTGGGTCCTTAGTATCATTCAACATGGATATAGGATACAATTTTTCCACATCCCTCCACCAAATTCAATCAGACCTACTCCCTTTCCCATGCTGCTGCATTTGGAAATCTCATCTCTGTTATCCAAAGAGGCCATAATCCAAATTCCATCTGACAGTACCAATGGGTTTTTCCTCACACTATTTTGCAGTCCCCAAGAACGATGGGGGCATAAGGCCCATCATGGACTTAAGAGACCTCAACCAGTACATACTTCTCAAGAAATTCCGTATGCTCACCCTTGACTCCATTCTTCCCCTCTTGTCTCAGGGAAACTGGTTCGTCATCATCGATCTGCAGGACGCATATGTCCATATCTCCATCCACCCGTCTCATCAAAAATTCCTCCAGTTGCGGTTCCATCACGATACCTTCCAATTTACTGCCTTATTGTTCGGGCTCTCAACAGCCCCCAGGACATTCACGAAATGCATGGCACCAGTCGTTGCGTACCTACGAACCCAAAAGATAAAAATCTTTCCTTACATCGACGACTGGCTTCTGGTGGTCCGATCCTATCATGAAGCGCTCTTGGCCACAAGATTCACCCTGTCCACCCTAAAAAAATTAGGACTAAAAATCATGCAAAAAAGTCCAATCTCATACCTTCTCAAGTAGTCTCCTACATAGGAGCAACCTTGGACTCTGTTCATACCGTCCCAGACCGTCTCCTACATAGGAGCAACACTGGATTCGATCCGCATGAGAGCTTTCCTACCATCTCAGCTAATTCGCAAAATCCAGGCAGCAGCATTCAAGTTCACACCGTACGGAACTTTGACCGCGCACAATACCCCACATCTTCTAGGTCTGATGGCGTCCACTACCTCAGTGGTACTCTTCGCAAGACTAAAACTCAGACCGCTTCAGTCATTGTTTCTCACCCAGTACGGACCCATGATGGACCCTCCTACAATAAAGATAAGGGTCCCACCTCTAGTAGCCAAGCATCTCATCTGGTGGACCATGCCCAACAATCTTTCCTTGGGACGACCGTTCCACCCTCCATATCCGTCCATACAAGTCGTGACAGATGCCAGCCCCTCAGGATGGGGAGCACACTGCCAGGAGCTGCAGGCGCACAGCTTCTGGACTTCGCGCCAAAGAGCCATCTCCATCAACCAGCTAGAACTGTTGGCTGTCATCAAGGCTTTTCAAGCCTTCCTGCCCCGCATATGAGGACATGCACTGCAACTGGTAACAGACAATACCACAATGATGCACTACATCAACAGGCAAGGTGGAACGCGATCAGCGCGGCTTCTCCAGCTGACCGTCAAGTTTTGGAAATGGTGTTGCTCCCACAACGTTTTCCCACAGGCGATCCACATCGCTTCCAAGGACAATTCTCTGGCGGACCACCTGAGCAGGCTCCCTACCAGGATGCATGAGTGGGAGGTCTTTCGCGACATCTGCACATGATGGGGACAGCCCACCCTGGACCTTTTTGCGTCTCATCGCAACACCAAGTGTGCCTGATACTGTTCCAGGGCGGGCATGGACGCCACCTCCCTGGGAGACACCTACCTCATACCATACTAACGTACCTGTTCCCTCTAATACCGCTGCTTCTCAGGATAATGTGGTACGGTACACATGCAGTCCTCATCGCCCCCTGGTGGCTGAGGCAACCGTGGTTCGCTCACCTGTCAGAAATAGCACAAGAAGTTTACCACCTTCCTCGGATACCGTCCCTCCTGTCACAGAACAATGGGGCTCTCCATCCCAATGTTCAGTCCCTTCGCCTGACGGCATGGAGGATAACCCCCGCTTCCGCAAG